GGAATGAAATTCGAATAGTCCTCCCTGTGATTGAAAAAATCCAATATGTCTTTAAAAAATATTCGGAAAGGATCCATGGCCTGAGCCTTGATAATCCTTGGATAAATACGCTTCAACTAGCTTTAAGAAGTCCTGAAGAAAACAATATTTGAAAATACAGTCTGAAAATATTCTAAAAAATTGGAAAAAAATTTGTCTTTGAATCCTTTGATTTCATTTGAATCCTTAGCTAAATGTTCTTAACAAATCAGGATCATACCTTGGTTACTTCTTAAAAATTCCTAATATTGTAGGTCGTTCGTTAGATAGTTCTCGAATTTTTTTTTTTGTTAAAAAGTGAGCGATCAAAGCTTTTCTACTCTCGGAAAATTACACTGTGCAAATTTCAAATTTTCCTATAATTAAAGGATAAATCCAGCAGATTATGAAAGTAGTGCAAAAAATGAAGAAACTTGTATTGGCGTTTTGAAATTTCACATTGCAAAGTAACCAAAATAGAGTGGACCCATTTCCCCCTCTTTCACACTTTTGGAAATTTTTGGATTGAGATTGAGATCCTTCGACGATGAAACTTCGCATCGCAAAGTAGCCAAATAGAGGGGACAAATTCCCCCCTCTTCCACACTTTTGGAAATTTTCGGATTGAGATTCCTGGGTTTCCGTGTATTTTGGGAATATAGTGTCTTTGGCAATATTGCAGACAAAAATAGAGGGTACAAGTTCCCCCCTCTTTCACACTTTTGAAAATTTTTGGATTGAGATTCCTCGGATTGAGATCCTTCGGAAATATTAGACAAAAATAAAGGAAACAAGCTTCTCCTTTTCGACACTTTTGAACATTTTCCGAGTGAGATTCCTCGGATTCCGTGCATTTTGGGAATGTAGTGTCTTCGGCAATATTGCAGACAAAAATGGGGGAATTATTTGGTTGACATTTTAAACCCTTAAGCGAGTTTTTGTTGACAAATATGATTAAAAACCCCCTTTAAACGGGATCGTAGCAAGTTAAAATATACAATAAAGTTCTTCGGCATAGAATTCTACTATGGGTTCTAGAAGACATAACCTCCCACAAAGTCCAGCTTTAACCCTAAAATGCGTCTTAAATATATATGAATATTTACAACACATTTTAGGTTTAAGAGGGACTTTGTGGGAGGTTATGCAAAAATCTCCCACAAAACTTCATTTTAGAAGTATGACTTAGAGGACAAAAATATTCTTCATCAAATTTCACTAAGTCTCACCAGAGAACAAATTTCTATATCCATGGTATATCACGAAAATATTTGCATCAATATTCCTAAACAAATATTTCCCTTTATTTTGATAATTTTTTACGTGTTGACGTCTGAAAGTAACATGAATTCCTAAAATCGTATTCCTGATCTAATCACCAATACTCTGTTCTGAGCTAAAGAAAACCAAAAGAGCTGAAAAGAACTAAAAAGTGCATTAATGTCCCCCACGTTGTGTAAGGGTAAATCACACTCCGTCCAGTTTCTTAAGATTGGATGAAAATAACTTTTAAAATAATTAAGATTTTTTCATTGCATATACATATTTTTATTGTGATATATGAATAATAAAAAATTGAATATCACTTAATTTACTCTCGGCAAGTCTCAAAACGCAGACAGAATTCATTTCATATCAACCCAACCAGCGAGCATGAGTTGAGATCGTAGGCGTTTTGACAGGCGCCATATTATATGCATTTTATACAAGGGAGAACAAAAAGCACACAACAACAACACCAACAGCTACAACAATTTGTAAATTGTTTTATTAAATATGTAAAGTATATGTCAACTATTCACAATTGATTAAATATTTTTTGCTAATGACTATGTGCCATGGAGATTTATGGAAGTGGAGATTAATTAAATTTATGGCCAGACAAGGGGAATTTGTCACTAGAAATAGATTTGTGTTACAAGTTATAAATTAAGAAGATATGGGTAAAATATTTAATTTTTTTTTATTATTTTTATTTTTAGCTTGATTGATTTTTCAATTCGGGAAATTAAATTAAAGTTAGTTCTTTCTCCTTAAATTATGCTACATATATAAAATAAGAAAATTATGAAGCATAGTTTTAGGAGAAATAAATACCTTTAATTTTATCAAAAATCCAGGAAAAATATATTTAATTTAATTGCTGTTTTTCTTCTGTATTTCTATATTACAAATTTAGAAATTATTTAGCATACTTTTAGGGATAACTTTCCATTTTTATTTCAACAAAAACTTATCAATTGTTCTTAGTTTAATTGTTGTTTTCTCTCCTATATACTTTCAGGTGCTCCAGTTTTCCAATATCCCCCACCACCCAGTCCCTCCTGCTCCGTTCACAGTCCCAATTACACGGGCGGTGATGTCTTCTTTCCACGCAGTCGCAGCACACCACGTACACCCCGCACAAGTGTCAGCTTTGCTGCCGGTGATGAGGTGAATTTTTTCCATCAATCCGCACCGACTTGCTCCAGTTCAGCCCAAACATCACAGGCACCCCAGTCAGCGCCACCAGTCAGTAGTCATCAGTATCTGCCACCGCATCAACAGCATTATCCTCATTATCCACATTTTGCCTATCATCACAACGGTCCGGGCTATTATCAATATACACCTCCGCCCACACCCACCACTGCCAATGCCACGACATCAACAGCGGCGGCAGGTTTGTCGGTGAGCTCAGGACCCAATGGTGCCCACAGAAGTCTACATCGAAGCCTATCAGATACAGCCAGACGGTAGGTATTTTGAATTTGAAAAAAAAAAAAGAATTGAGTACTGAATTAAAATAATGATTACAAGGCCCTTGAAAATTGGGAATTAGAATTGGATTTTCTGTTTGAAATTTTCATTTGCACCAAGTTTTCATTCCGTTGTGCCAAATTTTCCAGACAATTGACACCATTTTATTAAGCCTATAGTTTAAGCAATCTCGATTTTCCCATAGTTTCCAAAGTCTCGGAACAAAGTCCATTGGCCTTCTTGTTGTACATTTCTTTAATAGTAAAATTTTCAATTCTCCCATGAAATTACAAACCAGACTTTTTATTACCACAAAATGGCCAGCCAATGCTGACAGCAGGCCAGCACGAACAACAATGGACCGCCATATGTGGATGACACACTCAGAGTCTGACTTATGGTTGTCCGTGTTGTCGTTATTCTATTCTTTCGTTTTTTTCGTTTCATTTGTCTATAATGCCAAGATAAGCCATTTTTAAGCCTGTCATATATTTCCCTGGCTCTTCCATTTCTTGTCAATCGTTTTTTTATTAAAGCTTGATTGGTGTATTGTTATGATTTCCATTTGCAAAATTAATCATTGCCGTTTATTTTTAATTAATTATTATTTTATTTTGTCTTTTATTTCTTCCTTCCACGCCACTGCCACAATTAAAGATCACGTTTGACCTCGACGGGTGAAGATGAACGTGAATATCAGAGTGAACATGAAACGAGTTGGGATGAGTTCGATGATCGTTATGACAACTTTACAGCCGGGCGAGAGCGCCTGCAGGAGTTCAATGGCAGAATACCGCCACGTAAGAAGAAAAGGATGTGCCAAAACCGAAACCGGAAAAGAAGGTAAGTCAAAGACGAAAATTTAAAGAGATTAAGAAAATAGGAATATCTGAGCCCAATAGTATGCCACAAAATGTTAGGCCTTAAAATTATATTTACTGAAATGAAGGCCTGAAGTACCTGAAAAAATACACCATTCTTTTAGAAAAAATAAATTCAGCCATAAAGTATGCACTAAAATTTTAGGCCCAAAATATGGCATTTTTTCAGTAACGAAGCAGTAGGAGTGGAAAATATGTCTTATGTCTAAAAGTATGCACTAAATCAATCCAACGTAGAGCTTAGAAATAAAGAAATTAAAAATATTACCCCAAAGGTATGCTATGAAATATCAAGCCTAACAGTATGCAACATTTCTCGAAAGGGCGAAGAAAAAATCCAAAATATGCAGGCTCCATCTAAAACACTGTTCATCAAATTCGAAAAAACATGGTTGGTCCTAAAACTATGCAACATTTTAGAACAACAATTATGGAGGGAATGTATAGTTTTGGCTGTTCCAAAGGTTTATGTCTCAATCTTGGTATCAAGCATTTTTCTTCCATCCCTCTTCACAATACATCTAATAATTCATTTAAAGAAATTCAAACTAATATGCAAGCCTCAACAAACCTCTTTTCTGCCCCCTATTTTTGTTGAGCAACTGATGGCCTCTCGGCAATTAAACTGTTTCATGGCTAGAACGTCTCTCAAACTAAAGAAAAAAAATCAAAACGAAACAAAATAAACCTAAAACCTATAAATAAAATGCAAATTTGCGATAAAAATTAATTGCGCAGTGTTGCACACACACACACCGAGTTGAGCAGAGTACAGCAGCTTGTCGCGTTTTTTGTATTGGTAGGATAATAAAATTAAAAATTGCCATACAACATTTATGCATTTAAAATATTCGTTGGCGAATGCTAGCTAGCTACTCCTTCATTTTTTTATAGTTATTGTCGTTCTAGTTGTTGTTGCTGTTGTTGTAATACACAAAAGATTTCACAGAAGACTAGCAGAGTAGAGATTGTGTTGTTGTCTTTCTGGCTAGATTCTGTTTAAAACCGCGCCCTGTCATGTACTTCAGCCATGCAACGCTTCGTTAAGTTTTCTGTTTTCTGTGTGTGGTACTAGTCCGTTCGTCTGTTTACATTTATTTCGGTTTCTATTTTTTTGTATTCACAGTGTTCCATTACAAGCATTTTTGCACTTTTTACAAACGCTGCACACATGTGTCACTGCAACTCAAAGCCATTAAAAAAACGAAAGAACCTAGGAATTTTGAAAATTCTTTCTTTTCGGTTTTCAGTTGGAATAGAACGAATGTTCGTTCATTTATTATTGTTGTTTTCCCATAGTTAAGCTTTGTATCTTTTTGTGTTTTTTTTTTTTTTTCATATGTATAACTCGTGCTGTGTTGGGCTGTACTTTAAGCTTGAGCTTTGCAGGCAAGGAAATCGAACAAAGGATTGACGATACATGTTAAAGAAGAGGTTCGTTGGAACGTAGTTTTTTTTTCTGAAATAAAATCATCGAAAGGTTGTTGTTTTAGAAAACGACAACCGTCGTTAACAATTATTTACAACGCAATTTAGCTGGAAAATGCAAAATTAAAATAGTGAACATGTCGCGTTTATATTAATTAACAGAGAACATCAAAAGGCAAGGGCATCGGAACAATAGTTTGTAATAAGAACACAACAGCCCTTGAGGAAACAAAGGTTTCGGGAAGACACAATCGTCTGTTTTAGATTGAAATTCTCATTAACTGTTATTTAGTATGGAGATAAACAGTTTTAAATCGGAATAGCATGTTATGTCTTAATTAGTAAAGGATATTAAAATTTTATTTATAGAATCGTTAAAGGCTAGTTAGCACATTATCTTAGAGTCTATATAAAGTGGCCTTTTAAACATTTATCTTTGGATTTTTATAGCATAGTTTTAGGCGCTCTCCACAATTTTTAAAAATATATTTTAGGATTTAGGGCACATTTTTGTGAATCAGGGCAGTGTTGTCTCACAAAAGAAAATCTAGAGGCACGGATAAAAATAATCTCTATCCAATGTCTTTATAAGTAGCCCCATTTGCATAAAGGGAAATCTTTAGAGCACAAATTTAGTATTAAAATATAGGTCTAAAAATATGCAACAATTTATTTTATATTTTAAATCGCTTAGAAAACATCTGACATCCAACATGTACTAACAAAAAATCGGAGCCAATTTTTAGAAGAAGAAAAAAAATGAATAAATGTCAGAAAATACGCTCTAATATTTGGAGCCTAAAATATACAAAGTTTTTCGATGGATGTTTAAAAAACCTCTTTGAATACCCTCCACCATTTGGAACGATTTTGGCAATTTTCAAAAAAAATAAAATCCGCTAAAATTATGTTAAAATCTTAAAAATACCGTACCTAACCGTTATATTAGGGTCTATACGTCGACGTAGACCTGCATAGACAACTTTTGTTATATGCCATTTCAATATTTAAATGCGAAACTTGAAAAAAAAAAAATCGGTGAATAACGTAGCTAAAATCATTAAAATACCGAATATCGGGAGATACTATTATTTGGGGACTACACCGAAAGGTGGACCTGCACAGATAATTTTCTGTCATAGGCTGTAGTATTCATTACGAACTTCAAACACCAAATTTGAAACAATTCCGGAGAATAATGTCGCTGAAATCATCAAAATACCGAATATCGGGAGGTGCCGTTGGATGGGGGCTATATGAAGAAGTGGACCTGCACAGATAATTTTCTGTCATAAGCTGTAGTACCCATTACAAACTTCAAACACCAAATGTCGCTAAAATAATCAAACTGCAGAATATCTACAGGTACCGTTATATGGGGTTATACGAAGTCGTGGACCTGTACAGACAATTTTCTGTCTTAGGCTATAGTGTCCATTACGAACTTCAAATATCAAATTTTAAACAATTCCGGTGAACAATGTCGCTAAAATCATCAATATACCGAATATCGGGAGGTTCCGCTATATGGGGGCAACACCAAAGTGGTCCATTTCAATACCAAAAGTCCTGCAGACATAATATACATTTGAGAAAATTTTATCAATCTACTCCATTTCGTTCAGAGTGATTTCCATAGACCGACAGACGGATAGTCGGACGGACATTGCTAAATCGACATAAAATTTTATGCTGGTATTCCCTGCCTTACCCCCTGGTAAACATTACCATCGTTCTCCACTAATAAACAAACGTTGTTTTTTATAAAAACAACAATAAAGGATAAAGTCTGACCATTTTGCAGCAACTGGTCAAGAATATATATTCTTTGTGGGGTCTAAAATGTATATTTCCTCCAAACTATGGGGGAAGATATAAAAATATTCATAAAATTAGTGATAACACTAAAGGCCTAAAGGTATGCAACACTCGAAAACGTTTAAAGTTAAGTTATTTTTTATAATAAGATGAAAATTAAAACAATATAAAGGAATCCTTAAGACTATAATGTATTATCCTAATGTCGAGAGAAGAATCTAAAATATGAAATATTCAAAAATCAGGATGGATTTTATTAACACGTTTTATTGCGCATTTTAGCGGGATCAATTTTGGTAAAAATAAACAAAAATATCATGGATTAATGTACAAAAGTACACAATAGTGTGTTGACCTAAAAGTATGCACCATTTTTTAAAAAACGTGTTAGAAACACGTCCAAAAAAATTCATATACTACGGAAAATCGGTATAGATCTTGGTAAGAAAAGAACCTTTAATCTAAAATTTCGGCTGATTGGTTGGCCTTCTTTCCCCAAAACCCTTAAAAATACGAAAAATCTGATTTTCAAAATTTCTCCCTACACTTTCCCAACTCCCCTCGCACCCCAGCACATTTCACTCGTAATACGTTTAATTTTATTTCTTGCAATGTGTGAACTGCAATTTGTCACTTGTGCGAAGCGTGTTATTGCTCTATGAGTTGACGGGCGCAATGATTTGTTTTCTTCCAATACGTTTTTCTGCCGTCGAATGGATTTTATTTCTCTGGTTGTTGCTGTTCTGCATCAGTGAACATTGCTGGCTGACTAGCTGTTTGTTTTGCCTGCCTGGCTGCCCGGTTGCTTGTTGTCTTCTCTGGCCAACAGTTCGCATTCACATTTTCGTTTGATTGTAAATGATTTGTTGCTGGCGTTCGTTGTCGTTGTCGTTGCCATTGCCGATGTTTTCATGTTGCAGCACGTGCAGCCGAGATAGATGTTTTGCAAACTGCACACCAAATAAACGACACTGCATTTTGCTGAACAGATGTAGAAAATTTCCTTGATTTTTATAGTTTTACACATGGAAAAAGACTCAATAAGTGAGTGAAATTAAAATAAAAAAATCGTAGAAAAACGCTTAAGAAATGTGTAACATTTGTTGGAATTTGGTTATTCCCTACTCCGCCGGGTGTTTTTATGGCCATTTATGAGTTATGACCTTTGGTGTTACGAAAAAATTACTGTAGCTTGATTTTTTTAAACTTTTGCCCTTTAATGCCCAAGTATTGAAGAATTTATGACTTTGGGGAAAAAAACCGAACGCAAATGATATGTAACGAAAGATTTGTGATATATTACGTTGAAAGGAACAAATAAGAAGTAGAATAGACTTTAAATTTTAATGGAAAATTATGAGGAATGAATTAACTATTTTTTGGGGGGAAATATTTATAATTAACGAATTTTTTGCGAAGAAGCCTATGTCACCACCTCGGGCAACAACACAAAAAAAATAATTATTTATTGGAGCTATAATTATGAAATTAGAGCTAAAAAAGAAAGACTTGTATCGGTGTTTTTGAAGTTTAGATCATAAATTAACCTACAGGGAGGAGGCAAGTTCCACCCTCTTCCACATTTTTGGAAATTTCGTATTAAGATTCCTCGGAGTCCGTGCATTTTCGGCGTATAGTGTCTTCGGCAATATTGTAGAGAAAAATAGAGGAATATTTTTGTTGACAATTTTAACCCTCAAGGTTGTCAACGAAGGGGTCTGTTTGGTCCTTTTTTTAAACAGGGCGAAAATCTCCCTTTAAAACGGCAACGTTGCAAGTCAAAAATCTTCTACAAAATTATTTCCCAGAATAGTCTTCTATAGGTCCTAGAAGGCGCCAAGAGCCTAAATTTTACATAGAAGCCAGGAATTTATTTATGTTAAAATACATATTAGGTTTAAGCCGTACTTATGCGAGTTTTTGCAAAATCTCCATGAAATCATCATTTTTGAAGGACGATGCCGAAGACAAAAATATTCTTCATCAAATTTTACTATAAGTCGCCAAAGAAAAGAAATCTAAATTTTCATTGGGTATGGAAAAAAATCTGCAATTACTTTCCCACGAAAGAACCGAAATATTCTGTAACTTTTTAAACAAATTTTTCTCGAGTTGAGCCCTGAAAGTAACATAACATTTCATTTTAGGCAGAAAGAGTTAAAACAAGAAATATTCTACACAAAATTTTACTATAAATCTCAGAATAAATCAAATATCTAGGTACAATAGTTTTTATGAAAATTAGGTTCGAAATGTATATAGTAAAAGTGAAAATAATGTGTTTGCTTTTTTTACTGTTAATTTAACACGTATCCAGTACGAGTCATATCTCTCTTTATACTTCATTTTTTGGGAAAGTGTCAAAGAAAGAATTATTCTAGATAAAATTTCATTGTGAGTCTCTGAACAATATAAATTTATATATTCAATACGAACCGTGGAAAATAGCATCAATTTTGTTAATAAAAAATCATTTTTTTCTGAAAAAAAATTAGCACTTTTTCTAATTGGCCTCAAATTTTCTAAAAGCCAGCTTGTAAAAAATTCCAAATGGACCTGAACACGAAGAATTTTGTAAATCTGTTATATTTTTCCAACTATTGTCCCCCTCTTCCAATATCTAATAAATATATTGCATTAATTTTCATCTTTTTCGTGTTCTAATCTCTATTATTTCCCAAAATAATCTCTGTATTGATAACAAACTACACCCTGGAGGATTATAAAGACGCTCACACTTCCTTGAATCTCAGGGCAGTATATCAAAATAATCTCCCCCTCTTCCCCCTTGAAACAATAACTAAAGTTAAAAGAAAAGCCATGTTACACAACACAAGGTGATGACCCAGTTTAGTTCATAATCTGCTATGCAATTAAAGGTCTCTTGAATGGAGTTTCACCTCCACCCCTCTGAAAGTCGAAAAAAAGAAATTCATGACAAAAACAATAACATTTGGTCAACATCCTTATGTTTATTAACCATGGCTGGACTATGGCCATCCAGCGAGTTCATAACAATGAGACCACAACATTGACCTCAACATCGAGAGGCTGCAGCAGGGGGTGTTTTTGTTTCTCTCTGGCTTTTTGTTGCGAAAATGTCATAAATTATTTTCATGACTTTGGCCAGGAATAGGGGCGCAAAAATGTTCATATTCTGCTAACATAATAATAATCACTTTACTTGTTGTAGTCGTTGCTGGCTATGTTTGTAACAATGCCCAAATAATTATATTTCATAAATGTTGTTACAGTTTTTCCGCTCATCTTCATTTTGAATCGGGGAGAAAACACTTGTGTCCTGGCCATTCTTTTCTCTGAGTAGGGGAGGGGATGGAGAGTGCGTAATGTTTAATGCTATTATTAAAATATATGTATATGTGTGTTGGTGTGCATTTGCTTGTAAATAATTTGTTCTATTTTTCCCTGGGTGACATTTATGATAATTTATGGGAATAGTTTTTTTTTCTCTCTCGATGCCAGGGATGTGAATAGAAAATAATAACAGATTTGTTAACGCTTCAATAGTTGCAATGACCATTCGAATTGGATTATGAAAATGCAGGGGCATTAAAAACAAGTGGGGAGCCATTTTGAAAATATTTAAGGGTCACTTTTGATAGCATTTCACATATTGTTATTAATTTTTTGTTATATTTTACTAATTTCTTGTTTAAATTTTTTCCTCTTCCAGGAACAAAGCTTTACATGGCCCGCTGTTGTAACTGTCTTTGTGTTTGCCATGGGTTGTGGTTTTCTTGTGGCCCGATGAGTTTTGGCTTATGAATAGAAAAAAGGCCAAGCTAAATAAAAGTGGGAACAATTCATTATACAAAAACACAACAACAACAACAAAACTGCACAGCAACAACAACAACGAATTTATTTTTCTTAGCAAAAAAATAAACAAAACAAAATACAAAAGTTAAAACAACTCGTCTAGTTCATTGTTTGTGAGTCAAAATACCATATGGTGAAGGAGAAGCAGGAGGAGAATGAAGAGGAGTAACATCCGTGGAAGCAGGCGGAAAACAGAAGCTGACGGTGGGTGCAACGAAGCACAAATGGAGGTAGTTTATAGTCCTCTGGAACTCAGAGGACACACTAAACCCACACATATATACAAACACACACAAACATAAACTCCCCCAAAGGGCAGGGAAAGGGGGTTTGTCCTTTTTTTGTCCCAAAACAGAAACAAGGCAAAACATTCTCAAAGAAAAGTCACATTAAACAACCATAAAAAAACAAAACAATTTAGACTGGCAGCAAACAAAACAAGACAATTTAAAAAATAACAACAAAACAAAAAAAATATTTTTATACAAATCAAAAATATACACAAATAGAACTGAGATTTTTGGAAAAAACTTTACAAAAATACAATATTTTAAGAGAATCGCATTTTTTTGAAGAATTTTTCTGCTAATATTATAACAAAAATAGAATATATTTTTGGCTACATATTTACAGACAAAAAATCAAGCTTCTATATAAAATTTAATTTGCTGTTACAAAGAAATCGTAAAAAAATACACAGAAAAATATTTGTCTAAGCCTATCTTAATACTTAAACTTTTTATACATAGATATATGCTTACCATACATACACATACATACTAAATACAATCTACTGCCTTTTTATCTACAGTATTTTTCTTATTTTAAAACAAATAATCCATTTCGATGTCTGCAAAAGTATTGAAAAACAACATTTCAAAGATTTAAAAAAAATTAAACAAATTTGAAAATATTTAACATTATTTTGAAAAATTCATGTGGGAAATTAAAAAAAAATTAATATAAAAAAAAATTAAAATCCAATGAAGATACCAAAAACCAAAAAAAAAAGAATAAATTTAACACAATTTTGGAATGACTCACAAATCTTGGAAAAAATACCAAACATTAAAATAAAAAATTTAAAAAGAAAAATACAAAACTAAGCATAATTTTTGTTTTTGAATATTTGAGATAATTGAAACATAATTTTGCAAAAACACATAATTTTCATTGAATTAATAAAATATGTTTATATTTAACTAAAAAAAAGCAACACAAAATTTATAAATGAAAAAAAAAAATGAAAAATGCAAAACTAAATTTTATTTTTTATTGATATTTTTTTCATTATTTAAAATTCTTAATAGACAATATTCCGTTTTGTTTCATAAAAAACAAATGCTTCAATGCTACAAAATCTTAAAAAATAAAACTTTGATCATTTTTTAACAAAAAGGGCATAGTCTCATGAAAAAAATATTTAAAGGAAAATAAAATAAGCTTAAATCTTCATTTTTTTATTTATTTATAAAATATTGTATATATAACAGAGAAAAAAGAATTTTCCTGCTAAACATTTTCGTTTTTTTTGCTAATCTTGTTTTATTTAACGTTTAAAGAAAAATATTTTTATCTACAAAAAAATTAATTAAAATATTTTTTTATAATTTGTTTCTACATTTGTGTGAAAAAATGTGTTTAATATTTTGAATTGTTTTTTTTTTTTCAAATATGTGCTTAGTTTTGTATATATTTTCAGGATTTTATAATGAAACAAATTTTCGTTAAAATTTTAAATCTAACTGATTAAATAAATATTTGTTTACATAAAAAAATATTTTTCTATAAAAAAATTATTTTTTTATAAAAAAGTTGTATATTTTTTAATAAACAAATGATTTTTTAATTAAAAAAAACGTATATTTTTATAAGAAATATATCCTTTTATTTAAAAAATATTTTGTTATAAAAAATATATGTTTAAAATATTTTTTTCATGCATATATTTTTTATATATACATATATATACATATTTTTTTAAAAAAAGTATACTGTTTTCATAAAAAAATATTTTTTTTGATCTACAGATATTTCAAAATTAAGAAATAATAAAATTAATAAAATTTTAAAATATATTTTAAAATTATAAAAAAAATAAAAAATATATATTTTCTAAAAAAATATATGTTTTAATATAAAAATATATTTTATAAAAAAGATAATAGTTATTAACAAAATTTTTTTTATTAAAACAATATTTTTATCAAAACAATATATTTTTTATTTAAAAATAGCATTTTTTATTATAAAAAATACGTTGTTTTCATATTTTTTTATTTTTAAATGTTCTTCCAAGAAAAAAAAACAATTATTTTTATGATTTTTTTTTTCAATACTTTTGTAGACCTTTTTTAAAAAAAATATATATAAATATCTATTATTCTTATTTCATATGTAATTGTTTCCATTCGGTTTAAGGTGCTTACAAATGTTCTTAGCTTATAAACAGAAACAAAAAAATACTTAAGTAAACATACATATACTTATCTACAAGAAACAACAAAAACATTAAAAAAACGATCCATGTCTTCTTTGGTAATTTAAATTACATTTTTCTTAATTTTAATATTTTTATTTGTATTTTATTAAAAACAAAATGAATATCTTAATGGATGTATATATAAAATTCCTTGTGATTTTTTATTTGTTTGATTTGTCAATTTTGCAGTTTTGTGTTAGTGAAATTGTATAGTTTTTTTTTTTTTTTGTTAAAATATAATATAATACATAGATTTAAGCTTAATGAAAAAACCTTTGAAATCAGTTAAAAAAATAAAACAAGTTTTCAAATTGGTCTCATATTTTGTATAATAATATTTTCTTTCCGAAAAGCCTTAAAAAATTTAAGCAAATGTTTTAAATTGTAAATATTTAAAAAGAGAGTTAAATTAAAAAAAAAAAATAAATAGCCAATAGTAATGATCTCAATGTTTAGCAGTCATTTGTTAAAGAAAAAATTAAATTTAAAATTAACACAATTCCAAAAAAACATAGTGAAATTATTAAAAAAAAATAAAACACAGAAAACGATCTCCTAAACCAAAGTATTTTTTTTTTCTTTTTTTACTTTCATTGCCAACACCAAGTTTGTTTTTGCCTGTTTTTTTTTTTATAGCCAATATCTTTTTGTTTTTTTTTTTAGTTTTCTTATTTAAGTTTCCTGTTTTACAAGCAAAAAGTTGTTGTGTTATATATTTTGTTGTTTACAAATGTAATGAAAACAAAACATGATTTCTGTTTAAAAATTTAAAACATTTGCTTGAATTAAACAAAAAAATACATCAATTAAAATAAAAAAATTTAAAAAAATATATATTTTATATTAAAAAAAAAAACAATTCCCAAATACAAAGTGATCTCATGTCATATAATTTTTTTTAAATAAATATTTAAGGAAAATATATTTTTGTTTTGCAAATTAAGAAAAAATACGCCAAGCGTTATTTTTAAAAACAAAAAAATATGAATATTCTTAAAAAATATTTGCACAATTTCTTGTCATTAGACAGTTTTGTTTAGTTGTAATTTTTCTTTGGTTATATTTTTGTAAATTTTATTTAGTTTTTAATTTTTAAAAAAAATTGAAAGTTTTTATTGTAAATAGTTCAATTTAAAAAAAAAAAAAAAACATTTTTCCAATATTCAATGCTTGGAAATGCTATTGGAACTTGTTTTAAAATTTATTACAAATATAAGTTTAATAATATTTTCAATAACTTGCTGAGATTTTTTTTTAAACCACCACCTCCACCTTTCCATTTCCATTCACACAAAATAGTACAATTTCTGTTTCTTTTACAAAACATTCATTCACACCATTCATTCATTTTTACATTTTTAATTCATTTAAACATTTCCATTAATTTTAAACATTAATTAAATACAACAACAACAAACAAAAAATTGTAAATTTCAAAAATAATGAACTAAAAACTAAAGTTGCCATTCAGAGCACAAATACAAAGTTCCTGAATTCGAATTAAATCAAGAAAAAAAAACAACAACAATACAAGAAATAAATAAATTGAAAAATAAGAAGAAAAGAAAAAAACTTGAAATTTAGTTCATTAGTTTTTGCTTGGTAGTTTTCACAATGATCTCGGATTTTGAAGTTTTGTAATGCTTAGATTTATTTTCAGGGGAAGAAAATCGCATTTCTTCTTTGCCAAGGGAAATAAATCCATAAGCGTTTAACAACAAAAATTGCAGTTACTAGAGTAATAATTTTTTTAAATAACCATTTAAAGTTAAACACATAATTTTGGGCCCCAAAATGTTTTCATTTTACATTAATTACATTTAAACACAAAAAAGTCATAGTTTGTCCAATGCAAATTTTCTTAATATTAAGTTGTAAATAAAAAAAGAAAAATAAGAAATCCATGCCACCCGCCATTTTCATGAATTTGTATTTTTTTTTTTTTTCAACTTTTGTAATTTGCTGCCAATTTAAATTTATTTTTTTAGCTTAATTTGCTTTGTATTTTTTTCTTAGTTGTAATTTCCAAAAAAAAATAAATATAAAATAGCAAATTTATGCTTAAATTAAATTTAAGTCTTTTACTTATTATATATAAAAACAAAAACAAAATATTTCACTCCATGTTACATATCTTCAATATTATTTGTATTATTCATAAATAAAAACATATTTTTTCTCTCTGTGTATATTTGTAATTTTCTTGTGTGTATGTTACGTTTTTTCGCTTATTTTAAATAAAAACATTCAATTTTGTAAATCAATATTTTTTGTATTTTTAATTATTAAATATTAGTTTTTTTTTATTGTCTCATATATGATGTATTTGCTATATATATATATATATAGAAAAATAAAAAAACATTTATGTGTATATACGTATTCTTTGTATGTATACATATTCATCATTTTTTATGATCTCATCAATGTTCATATGATTAAAATAAAATTAAATATTATTATACATTTATGAAATATAAAATAAAAAAACAGAAATGAAATTATAAATCAATAAACGTTTTTTATAAGCATTTTTTGTGAAAGAAAAAATAAAGTAAAATGTGTATTTTTATTTTGGAATGGGTCAGGGATTTTTCTTCTATTCCGGGAAGAAAAGTAGTCGAAGTAGGAATTCGGAGATATAAGTCCTTACCCATAAAGAAAAAAATACAGAAACTGTTGAAGTTAAGGTGACAGCCCCTGGCGGAAGCGTAATTTTGAGTAGATACGCTACATAAAACTGGCTACACAGTCGTGACCCTTAGGCTAGAGTAGCTCGCCGGGGTCCAAAGGTTCGTAGAGAAATTTATTTATTTTGAGTCAGAAAGAGAAAGACAGTTGTTTCCGTTTGATAATACGCTTTATTGTTGTGGTAATATGGACATGACTTCGTAATATATGCCAATTAAATGAGGTAGGATACTAACCTTCGGTCCGAAATTTAGCAATGGTTTTTCGACTTGAGGCCTGGATAAGTACTCAAGACACGGGGAGACAG